AGCCGAAAGTGATGCTGTGGCTCAAGTGGTAGAATGTTAACCTTGAGCAAAAAGAAGCTCAGGGACAGTGCATAGGCCCTGAGTTCAAGCCCCAGGACTGGCAGAAAAGAAAAAAGAAAAGAAAAGAAATTTTGCAGGAATTAAGGAAGAACCCAGGGCTTGAGTGCTGGCCTTGAGCTTCTTTTGCTCATTAGCAGTCTATCACTTGAGCCATAGCACCATTTCTGGCTTTTTCTGTATGTGGTACTGTGGAATCAAACCCAGGGCTTCATTCATGCTGGGCAAGCACTCTACCACTAAACCATATTCCCAGCCCATGGAGGATCTTCTGAATGAAGCTAAGAACTTTGAATACCTGAGATATGTGATTATCACTGAGGTCCCTGCTGCCAGCAGAAAAAGAACATGTAGTAACCAAGAGTGTGATGATCAGCAGTCACAAAAATTGAGTGAGTGGCAGCTCTTTTTGGTTTAAAGTTCTTCAACCTATATAGTTTGGCCCTTCAGGGTCAAACAGTAAAGAAGGTATAAAAACCACATTGCTATCTGCCATAATAACAATCACACATAAATTAACAGGTCAAGCCAGACACTGGTGCCTCATACCTGTAATCCTAGCTACCCAGGTGGCTGAGCTCTGAGGACTGCAGTTCAAAGCTAGTCTGGGCAGGAAAGTCTGTGAGACTTTTATCTCTGCTAAACTACAAAAAAAGCCGGAAGTGGAGCTATGGCTCCACTGGTAGAGTTCTAGCCTTGAGCAAAAGCAGCTCAGGATGACATCCAGGCCCTAAGTTCAAGCCCCAGAACAAGCACAGACACACACAATTAACTCATCAAAAGTAAATTTGTTCCTATTTTAATTAGATTATAATACAAATTTTTCTTCACTGAAATCTGAGCAAATGTACCAAAATCAGTGTTGCTTACTTCTCACACACTAGTGGGTTTTGTTTTTTGGTTGGACATGGGGCTTGAACTCAGGGCATGGGCACTATCCCTATGCTTTTCCATTCAAGGCTAATGCTCTACCACTTTGAGCCACAGTGCCACTTCTGGTTTTGGGGTAGTTAATTGGAGACAAGAGTCTCAATAGGGATTTTTCAGCCTGGCTGAAAAATATACAGCCTTGGAATGAACTAGGTCATTGAAGAGACCACTAGACCTAAATCCTGAAGCTTTTCAGTTCCTTCCAAAGTGTGAGAAAGATTGAGATCTGCTCCCTTCTACAAGTGCAGGCAAACAATCCTGAGATCTCAGCCTCCTGAGTAGTTGGGATTACAGGTGTGAGCCACTGGCACCTGGATTCACACACTAATTTTTCAACAACTAAGAGGTAGATAGCTCAGTGGTAGAGCACTTGCCTAGCATGTATAAGGTGCTAGGTTTGATTCCCAGCATCACAAAACAACAACAACAACAACAAAAACCAAGTAACTAAATAAGCAAAGGAAATATTCCCAATATGTCTTCTGTCCCAAATTCACAGATCAACTACTAAGATCTAAAAACAAAGAGACAAGGTTTGACCATATGTTGTCTACTTGAGTTTATTATTGTACTCTTAGAAAAAAAAAAAAAAAAAGGTTAGGATGGCCAGGGAAAAATGTCATCAACACTGTAAACAGGAACCAAGACTCCAGAACTTGGGTGCATTCTCTAAACCCTAGCCTCAGTTCTCAAGAGATTCCATTCCCACCCACCCGATTTTCTTTTAAACAAAGACACCCAAATCAGCAGCAGAGGTACCTGGGGTAGTCACTGAGATTTTGAACACTAAGAATTGGAGGGGAAATGTCCAAAAAATAGGAACTGGGGAGAAAAGGGAAGGAATGAATGAAGGAGAGGCTAGGTTTTGGAGGACAGAGCTGGGCGGCAAGAAGTGGGAAGGAGCCAATCTGAGGCATACCCCACTTGACTGCATCTGCCCACGCTCCCCGGGTCCCAGATAGCCCCACGGTTTGTTCTGCAGTCTACTTCCTATTCCCACAGGCTTCACAGGCCTAGCTCCAAGTCCTCCAGCTCTTCCTCCAGCGCCCTCCTCCTTGCTAGCTTCTCCAGCTGCTCTTTGCTGGGCTGGCTGACTTCCCCAGCCTGGATCCGCTGCTGTAGCTCCTCCACCTGACGAAGCTTCTTCTTTAGGCTCTTTATCTTCTTGGCTTTCTCTGTGGTGGCCGCTGAGTCAGGTGGATCACAGGCAGCTGTAGGGGCTGCCTGGGTGATTTGCAGAGCACTGGGGAGTTGGACTGTCTCTCCTAAAGACACCTTCTCAAGAGTCCGGCTCAAGGCCTCTGCCTCTCCTTTCTCTTGCTGTTGCCGCCTCTTCTCCTTTCGTTTCAGGTTGCGTTTGGCGGTCTTGGAGAGGCCTGGTTCACCACCTTCTGGTCTAGATGGGGTAACAGGGGCGGTGGCTTCAGGGCTCAGCCCTGGAGGCAGCTCTGGTTTACTCTTGAAAAACTTCACATACTTATTTTCATACCTGCAGGAAACAAGATGTCAACAGAGTCTCCAAGAAAAGCTGACTTTTCAGTCCTTTTCCTAACCTTCCAAATCAAGTAACTTATCACATTCCTACTTCCTTGCATTCTTTGGATCCCTCCCCAACTTCGTTCTGTAGAAGATGCTACAGGAGGGTCCCAAGGACCCAAACCATTGAATTTCTCACTTCTATTTGTAAATTCTGATGAATAGTGGCCACAGGAACAAACTAGTCACATGGAACTCCCACTTACCCCTGAATCCCAGCTCCTTCCTCTCCTTTCTCAGACAGTTGCCCCTCCTTCCATTTCCTTGGGGCTCGGGAGAGTCAGCCCTAAACTTGTAGGCCCACATATTCTATCCTTCTGTAGGGACCTCATTAAATACCCCCACCTCAAGCCTAAGCACGCACACTGGGACCTCCTCCTGGGGCACATAGCCTTCTTTCACCCTCCGCTGCTTGCGCCAGGTCCCATCAGGTCGTTGTGTTGACGCGATGTACTTGCCTGAAATTGGAGAAACTAAGTTGAAGTAACTTTATTTTCAAACAATTGCCCCTGTTGAGTGCCAATGGCTCATGCCTATAAATCCTAGCTACGTCGTAGGTTGGAATCTGGAAGATGAAGGTGGGAGGCCAGCCCAGACAGAAAAGTTCATTAGACTCCATCTCCAAATAATCACCAGAAAAACAAAAAGGAAGGCTGGAAGCATGGCTCAAGGAGCATAGCACCAACTCAGCGAGCATTAACTCTTGAATGGAAATTTCAGTGCCGCTAAATAACAAACAAAAATACTCAAACATTTCTCAGGATGAGAAGTATGCATAAATGTACACAACTCCCACAAGCACCCACCAAATGCAAATTTGTTACCATATCAACCCTGAAGCCCTAATTCTATCATTATTTACAGAGTGGCTATGTACTATACAATACACCAACCGTTCCCTCAGAGAGGGTCTATTTTGATAATTTATGTAAGACGTGACAAGCATAGAAGACATTTTTTAAAACATAAAGCAACAGCAAAGGGATATTAAGGGCAGTAAATAAGAGGTTGAAGAGAAAAAAAACAAGAACCATATGGGGAGAAAGTATCTGAAAAATGTTATAGAGAAGGCGAACTTTTATTTAGATGGACTCTGAAAAACAAAACAACTTGAAGGAATACATACTGTAAGCTGGTCATGGTATTGCATGCCTGTAATCCCAGTATTCTTAGCACAGGAGGGTAGGTAGAGGTACTTCAAGTTTGAGGCAGTCTGGGTTACACAGCAAGACCATGTCTCCAAAAACAACAAAAAACTAACCAGGAATATACCACTGAAGACATAGACACCAGTACACAAGAATATATGTAAAGGATGTTTGTTGACACACGTTACTTAAACTAGCAAAAAGCTGAAAGCAATTTAAATGGTCACTAACAGATGATGAAATAGATTTGGTTCATTCACACAATGGTGCACTACAATGATGTTAAAAAGAATGCTAGGGGCTGAGAATGTGGCTTAGTGGTAGAGTGCTTGTCTAGCATGCATGAAGCTCTGGGTTCGATTCCTCAGTACCACATAAACAGAAAAAGACAGAAATGGCACTGTGGTTCAAGTGATAGAGCGCTAGCCCTGAACAAAAGAAGCTCAGGGACAGCGCCCAGGCCCAGTGCCAGCCCAAGGACTGGCAAAAAAAATTTTTTTTAAATGATAGAAGCTGGGTACTGGTGGTTCACACCTGTAATTCTAGCTACTCAGGAGGCTGAGACCCTAGTTCAAAGCCAGCCTGGGCAGGAAGGCCCTTCAGACTCTTTTTTCCAATTAACCACCAGTAAACCAGAAGTAGCACTATGGCTCAAAGTGGTAGAGCAGTGGCTTTGAGCAAAAGTGCTCAGGGACAGCACCGAGGCCGAGTTCAAGGCCCACAATCAACAGAAGGAAAAAAAAAAGGTTAGAATTGGTCATGGAGGTACATGTGGCTCTACTCTAGGCGCTAGGGAGGCTGAGCAAGAATCAAATGTTTGAGGCCAGCCTGGGATGCATAGCAAGACTAAATAGTGTTTATGATATACTGAAATGAAGAAACACACTACAGGAACATGCGCAGAAGTCCTCAAACTGTTTTACTTCAGTAATTTTTTAACTCCTGTTTTGTGTTATATCACTTGAGCCACACCTTCACTTTTTTACTAATTAATTGGGAGATTAAAGTCCCTTGATTTTGCCTGGACTGGCTTCTAACTGATCTCAGCCTCCTGATAGCTAGGATTATAGATATGAGCCCCTGGTACCTAGTTATTATCCATTTCTTTATGCAATAATGAAAAATTAAATTCATTAATTCCTTCAGAAAGGTCATTAAGTACTGAGAAGCTTTCAAGCACACAGGACAGACAGAATTTTTTTTT